ACGGCGCCTCCCTCGCCGCCCCCGGCCTGGCCGCGGGTCGCCGGGCAGGGAGGGGACCCTCCGCCCCCACCGGGGACTCCTGACCCCATGACCTTCCGGGCCAGTGTGTGGCCTGCGCGGGGTTCGCGCCCACGGGCAGATCGTTGTGGAGGGGTGGGGAGAAAGTGCGAAGGAGCCTGAGGACGTCCGGGGCCATCCGTCGCCCCAAGTATCTTTCCCTTTTGCAATTCTTTGTGTCCGGTCGGGTTGTGTGAAAGTGGAGCCATCACGTTCAACGTTCGTGTCGCAGATGTGTGTTTTCTTCTGCTTGGAATTGCTGGACTAGCCAGCATTCAGTCCACTCTTCGTGGTTGGGGCTGGGCGATGGAAGTTCGTTTTGCTGTTCTTTTTTCTCTTGTGCATGTTTGAAAATGTCCCCACTTAAAAAAAAAAAAACGTAATGGATTGTTTGAAACAGCAGCTAATCCGGGCATGTGTTTCAGCTCCTCCGCTTCTGATGCAGAATTTGATGCTGTGGTTGGATATTTAGAGGATATTATCATGGGTAAGCTTTTAAGGATTTTGCTTTTAAAGATTTGCTGGCTGGTTTTTGCTTTTCAGGACGCTGAAGTCAATTTGGAGGGTTCATTTTAAAAGGAGAAAACATTAAGCCGCATACAGTTTTTAACGTAGCACAACGTAATATTAAGCCTTAGTGTGGTTTGTCTTAGAAACAAACAGTTTGGTCCTCCGTAAAGCAACTAGTAACCATAGATTCAGGGGCCTGAAAGGACTTACTCAGGTAGTGGGGCCCCTAGAAGTATGGTGTTCTTGGCAAAACTTCAGGAAATAATGATCTTTATTTCACGTGTAGAATAAGAACAATTTCGTTTTTTAGGTAGTTTTAAGTTTTAACATTTCCATACCATAAAACAGCATAAAACCATAAGCATACATGTCCATGAAGAAAACAAGATGTCAAACTTTGTCTGGTTCTGTATTTTCCTGGGTTTTAAGTTCCGATTTGTGGACTCATTCTGACATCTATAATTCCTGCTAAATAGCAGACATATAAGTAACAGGTCTCAAAGGTTTAAGATGAATTAAGGGAAAAACTTAAATTTGAGAAAATTCTATTGACTAAGTTTTATGAGAATTGGGGAAATAACACTTGTTATTTGGTGTTTATTGGTTGTTTGGCTTAGTCTAAAAACCACTAGCCAAGCTTTTGTACCTTCAGGTCCTATAAAGGTCATGCCCTTAACTCCTGAATATATATGTTTCATCATTAAGCTCTGATCCCATGTGGACTTGACGATTTCTGGGGAATGATGAAGAATCCATTCATTTCTTTTGTCTATTATGGGTACCCTGCGTGGTGTGGGAAAATGAGCCTTCTGTAAGCCCAGGGTATTTATTCAAGGTCTGGGTCCTTTATGAAGCTTTCTTTTTATTTTTAGAAATAATATTCTATTCAATTGTTAAAAGTTCCTATTCTCTAACATTTATTAAGTCTTCCCTATGACCTGGTGTCTTTAGATACATTCTCATCTGAATTCCACATAGCAATCCTAGATGATAGGTAAAATAGTAAATCATTTCCAGATGAAGAAATAGGGGTTTAGAGAAATTAAGTAAGCTATCCAAGGTCACACAGCTACCGAGTGACTCAGGTAGGATTTGAACCCAGACAGACTAGCTAGCCTCTGTCAGACCTCATACTTTTAATTACTACACTGTTTCACAACTGCTGCTGAAATTATATTAAAATAAGAGAGAACCAATTCGTCCCTTTACAAGAAAATAGCATGGGGGAGTTTCCAAACCACTATCACCCTGTGTGGATCTGTTTAAAATGGACTGGAGGATGCTGGTGATGGTTGCACAGCAGTGTGAACATACTTAAAGCCACTAAACTGTACACTTAAAACGGTTAAAATAAACTTTTTGTATATTTTGCCATACTAAACAAAAGAGAACTGGATTGGTCTATTTCAGCATCAGTGCCCATTTGATACCCCCTTAAAACACTGACTTCCAACTCAAAAAAAACAAAAAACACTGACTTTTCCTGTTCTGCAGACTGGCCATTGAGAAAGCAGCACCACTTATCCTTGCTACTTATGTTAGAGATTGTAATGGTTGGCAGTCTCCACTAAAAAGAATAAATTTTGCCTATTATGCTTTAGATGATGAGTTCCAGTTGTTACAGAGAAATTTCATGGACAAGTACTACCAGGAATTTGAAGACACAGAAGAGAATAAACTTACCTACACACCTATTTTTAATGAATATGTAAGTAGATTTCTATTTCCCCTACCAGGAAGTCAAGGTTTCTTTGAAATTTGTTGTATTTTAAATATTTATGTATTTAAAAATATGCCACAGTACCCTCCAGGAGTTCTAATTAGAGTCTGGTTTTGTTCATTTTCCTCCATACAGCAGTTGGGGTTCTTTTCCAAAAGGCTTTCAGGCAACAATATTTGAGAGCTCAACAACTCCTTACTTAAGTTTGTTGGGTGTGGTGGCACACGTGTGTAGTCCCAGCCATTCGGGAGGCTGAGAATTGCCTGAGCTCAGGAGTTCAAGACCAGCCTAGGCAATAGAGCAAGACCTCTGTCTCCATATAAGCAAGCAAGTAAAATTTTAAAATATAAAAATAGTTTGGCATGACCATAATCCTGCTTTTAGTTACAGCACATGTGTTCTATACCTTGCATTTGTATGCTTTTTTTTTTTTTAAGATATAGGGTGCAAATTTGTATGCTTTTTTTACAAAGCTTTTTGTCACACAAATTCTTTCTTCTGTATAGTCCAGTCGGTACATATGACTGTTAAGTAAAAGTGAAAACTGAGTCCAAGATACTAGTTGGTGGTAAAACCAAGACTGGAACCTGGGACCTTCAGCTTGTCACCCCTGGGTATTTCCCTCTGCACTGAGGCCTCTTAGGAAGATCATCTCATATATCATAATGGGTTTCAGCCTCTGGGACTTGATTTTTTTTTTTTTTTTTTTTTTTTTTTTTGAGTTGGAGTCTCACTCTGTTACCCAGGCTGGAGTGTAGTGGCACACTCACGGCCACCGCAGGGAGGACCTGCTGGGCTCCAGTAATCCTTCCGCCTCAACCTTCCAAGTAGCCGGAACTATAAGCATGCACTACCATGCCTGGCTAATTTTTGATTGTAGAGACAAGGTCTTGCCAAGTTGCTGGGGCTGGTCTCAAACCTGCGGGCTCAGGCAATCCACTCACCTCGGCCTCCCAAAGTGCTGGGATTATAGGCTAAGCCACTGAGCCCGGCCAGGACTTGATTTTTCTTAACACAGAAGCACAGCACAAACAATAAAGCCTGCAGAAGGAATCTGATTGCCTCCAAGTGTATGCTTTGCTGTGTGTTGTGTTTGCACAGATGCCATCTACCCAGGAAAGAAAGCCCCCACTGACTTGATCCTGCACTGAGGTGTGGGTGCTGGAATGAGAGCCCTGCTGCTCACTGTCTCCACCTATGTCAGAGCACCCATTCCATTATAGCATAGTTACCCGCAGATGCCCCCTCCCACACCAGGCCAAGGCTTATCTAGTATGGGCACTGTATTTTGGTCCTCTGTGGTATGCCCAGCACTCAACAGAGAGCTTGGCACATAGAATAGGCCCTCAGGAGATGTATATGAAGGGCTGGAGGGCAGGCTTCCAGAAAATAATTGTTTTCCACAAGTGTGGTCTCACCAAGATCCTTTCTTTTGTTGTAGATTTCTTTGGTAGAAAAGTACATCGAAGAACAGCTGCTGGAGCGAATTCCTGGATTCAACATGGCAGCTTTCACAACAACGTTACAGTGAGTTGTACTTGACTGTATTTTTTTTTTTTTTTTTTTTTACTTTTTGTCACTTTTTTTCTTCATTGGTTTGAACAAAAGACCCTCCTCTTTTTTTTTTTTTTCTTTTTTCACTGTAAGCACTTGGTAGTTAGGTCCTGGATGGAAAGCCCTTAGAAAATTTTTGAATGAAATCTTGAAGAGACAGTTTCATTATTCATTCATGAAATAGTCATCCTTTCCTTTGTAGGCATCATAAAGATGAAGTGGCTGGTGATATATTCGACATGCTGCTCACATTCACGGATTTTCTGGCCTTTAAAGAAATGTTTCTGGACTACAAAGCAGTAAGTTACTACTGCCTATTTAGCCATATTGAACCACTTAGAAAGTTCAAGTAGAACTTGTTAAACACATGCCACCTCCCATGCTTCCCCATCATTCCCTTAAAACTGGCCAGTATCAGTCTAGCACCTGGCAAGAAGAGTGAGTTGTTGTTCTAGCCCAGACCTATTCATGTTTATGTACCAACGTCATCTTAGGGCTTCTAGATAATCAGAAGACAAAAACTAAAAAGCAGGTCTCTTTCTGCCTTGCCTATCTTATAATACAAGCTCTTTATGAGATAAATACTTGGTACCAGGCACAGTGGTATGCTTGTAGTCCCAGCTACTCAGGAGGCTGGGGCAGGAGGATCACATGAGCCAAGCTGGAGGCCGAGGTGCACTATAATCACACCTATGAATAGCCACTGTATTTCAGCCTAGGCAACATAGTGAGACCCAGTCTCAAAAAAAGAAAAAAAATAAGGAAAAAAAAAAGAAATACCATCCAGTGAAGAGAGGTAAATTTTTTAAGAGTGACTAGGGCCAGTGTTGAACATAAATGCAAAATAATTTCCCTCACCTTCCTGTGTACCTATAGTGGTCCACACTTCTACCTTGAGTTCTGACTTCCCTGAGGCAGGGTTCTGAGACAGAAAAAAGACTCATTCTGTTCCTTGCTTCTGTTTGTTTGTTTTCTCCTGTAGGAAAAAGAAGGCCGGGGACTGGACTTAAGCAGTGGTTTAGTGGTGACTTCGTTGTGCAAATCATCTTCTATGCCAGGTTCCCAGAACAATTTATGGCACTAGGTCCTACCTCCAGCCAAGGAATAGGATCGTTCCAGATGTCACTGGCCCAGTAGGCCAATAGGCTCAGCTAATGATGACAAAAGAGTACATCTTGGAAGGACTAACTGTTTTGCAACTTTTCATTCCTGTTAAGTATTGATGGGTCAAAAACAAAATAACCTGACTCTCTTGGACCTATTTCTCTGAAACACCTTCTTGTATTCATGAACCTTAGTACTCCTCCCTGAGTGCATTAGTAACCCTAGTCCACTTCCCTTCCCCGAGGCAGGTACTTCTCTCGGGCACTTCTGAGTCCAACTCTTCTGGAGGAAGCCCATGTTGAGCATTCCACCTGGGACCCCTTCCTCCAGCATACATGTTGGCACGTCAGCAGCGTGAACTATCCACCATCACAAACCCTCTGTGTCCCAGCAGGCTTTGCATGAATCTTTTTATGTGCTCATATCTCTTTTACATGGGTCAGAGTTTCAGTTCTTCAGCCTCAGTGGGGTTTTTGATATTTATCTAGGGTGTTACTCAAGCTAGCTGCCCATCTTGAGATTTCTGAGTCTCCTATAATCACAGCTTGTCTTGGTTGTAGCAGTCATCGGAAAGTGATGTCTTTTACCTAAAATTTTCATGTGAGAGTCAACTCCTAGTTTTCACATTTGCAGTCCTTGTGTCACTATGTCTTCTGCTGATCCTGATATAGTCCCACTGTTTCTAGAAGTCTCTTTTAAGCATTATTTTTGAAAAAAATATTTTTATAGATGAAAACTCAGGCTAACCTGTGGCAATGATCTTGGAATTTCCATGATTACCCACTTAAAGATCAAAGTATTATATGCTGTGTGCTTTTTAGCTGTTAGTGCTATGAAGGCAAAAATGCTTTCTACGTTGGTGTTTGTTACTGGGCATCAATGAATATGTACTGTGTGCTGGAAATAGACTGAAAGGTATCCTGCTCTTATAGCATGTTAGTGTGTTTGCATGTTTGCTGAAAATCCTGTCTGTGTAAACCAGTTTATTAGGTTCTCTGCCAGGGGAGGCAGGGACTTTGCAATTTCTTCCTCCTGTCCAGATCTCTCCTACCAAGACAGTGTTCCACTGGTCTGGCTCAGCATGAGTAGGAGGTAGCAAACAGCTTTATCAGTCATCTGTCTGCTTTGGTTTAGTGCAGTGTTTGGTAGCATATTACTTACCAGAAAACATATCATCTCTACAAAGTAGAAAAAACATAGTAATTCAATTCCCAATGTGTACCTTTGGTTTTTTTTCTTAAAGTAAAATAATCTGCACTGACTTTTCACTTCGCTATTCTGGTTTTCAAGGACAAGCTACAAGTTGTGTGCTTTTCTGTACTGTGTCACTTATTAAATACTTTTGTACCATGAGTAAAATTTGATGTTTCGCAAGGTCCATCATTCTAAATGAGCCATCCCCTTCCTTTAATGTAGCCATGGCCATGAGGTTATTATAGCTCTGGTCCTTTCTTTAAGGCTAGTGAAGCAGCAGGAGTGGAAAAGGATCAAAGATATCTGCAACTCATTGTGCTCAATTCCTTGTAAACAACATTCACTTGGCTGACCTGCTTTGGTCCCTTAAGACCACCCTCAGAGCCAGCTGTTTATTTATTTATTTATTTATTTATTTGAGTTGGAGTCTCACTCTGTCGCCCAGACTGGAGTGCAGTGGCCGCTCCTGGCCATCACAGCCTCGACCTGCTGGGCTCCAGCGATCCTTCCGTCTCAGCCTTCCGAGTAGCCAGAATTATAGGTATGCGCTACCACGCCCGGCTGATTTTTTGATTTATTGTAGAGATGAGGTCTTGATGCCCAGGCGGGTCTCGAACCCGCGGGCTCAGGCAGTCCACTCACCTCAGCCTCCCAAAGGCACGGGATTACAGGCTGAGCCACCGAGCCCGGCTTAGAGCCAGCTTTTTAAATGCCACCTCTCCAGGGCTTGCTTTCCCTTCTCGCCCTCTTTATAGATGGGACTGTCCACACAGAATGAGCATATGGAAGGCACTTGCTAAGTGATCAATCTGCCTAGTGGAGAAAAGGCAGGTGGACAAGTCCAGAGATTAAATGATGAAAAAAGAACGAGAAGAAAGGCAAATTGTCTTTTTCACCCTTTCTACTACCAAGAAAAAAGCAAGCCTTTTAGCTTAGTGTTATAAATAGACTTTCTGATTTCATTTAAAATAAACTAGCAGTCTGTCTGTCCACACAGACACTTAGAGTGGATGTCACGTGCCACCTTTGATGGGGCTCCTGTCTGGCCTGGGGTGAGGAAGCCCAGCAGCATCGTGCCCCAGCCTCAGGAGCCACTGCATTCTCTCATCACATAGGACTCTTCCCCGTGGGAAGTGTGACCACCCAAACTGCAGTCTCAGGATGGGACTCCTCCCTGAAATAGATGCTGCTTTAGGGTGTTGGAAACCTGACAAAAGGGGGAGCTCACTAACTTGCCTGGGCTTTTGTTTCTCTTTAAATCCTCAAAATGGTACTCTTCCTCAAAACCAGACTCTTTTATTATGACTTGCTCCTGGGATGACTATAATTGATTATTCAAATTCCGAGACACTCGAGTAAAAGGGCTGCTATTAATGTTGACAGCAGGACAACAACATAAACTGGGCTTGTCTCAGGTTGACTGGGACATGGGTACCCAACAACTCCCATCCCTTAGCAACAGAGTAGCTCATCTGCAACTATTCAAACCTAGTTACAGTTTCATTGTTCCCAATTTTTAAATAAGGACCAGAGGGTGCTTTGACTGATTATTTAGAGGATGTTGCTCCATGGTATTAGAAAAATAAGCTCAGGAGGATTCGACTGCTATCCGCCCTGCTGTCTCTCCCAACTCTGAACATCTAGCATGGCCAGCCACCTTGATTACATGGCTTCTGAGTTTCACAGCTTGCCAGGTAGGTGACATTATTGAATTTCTTTTTTTTTTTTTTGAGTCCCAGTCTCACTCTGTCGCCCAGGCTAGAGTGCGGTGGCACGCTTAGGCCACTGCAGCCTCGACCTGCTGGGATCAGGAGATCCTTCCGCCTCAGCCTTCCAAGTAGCTGGAACCACAGGTATGCACCGTCACACCCAGCTACGTTTTTGATTTATTGTAGAGATGAGGTCTCGCCATGTTGCCAAGGCTGGTCTCAAACCCCTGAGCTAAGACAACCCTCTCGCCTCCCAAAGTGCTGGCATTACAGGTGTGAGCCACCATGCCCAGCAGAAATCTTAAGTTCAGTAAGATCACCTACCTGCCCAAAGCTCAGGTGTTAAGCTGAGACACTTGAGAGTAAAAGGGAGTGCTATTATATTTACGCCAGGATAAACAGCATAAGCCAGGCCTGTTTCAGACAACGTAGGCAGGAAGTATGGTTGGTCTACCACAGGTCACAGGGTTGGTTGGGGGTGCGTGGTGCTAACCAGAATGTGAGCTGCACTGTGATTGGTGTCTGGGACTGTTGGATGGTCAATCTGCAGCTTCCTGGAATTCACGAGCACCTACAACCATGATTCTCCAACACCTTTTCCAAATAAGTTCTTCCCTCTTTATTTTTGTAAAAAACAACAAAGACACCACCAATCACATGACAGTCACCAGGCAAGGTCTCGTCTCCCTCCTTCACATCCCATGTGCCTAATCAGTTTCAGGGAAGCAGTTGGCATTGATGTTAGCTTTTCCCAAAGGAAGTATTATAAAAAGAAGGACTTGGGAAAGGGAGGGGCACCTGGATAGGTTTCCTTCATTGAGAAGTCACTTGAAACTAACGTGCTTTAAATAGCCGGTAGGTCTGAAATGCAGGAAAGGAAGGCCATGCTGTCAAGAATTGTAACCCTGTTCCTACAAAGTGACATGTTGGCTTGGGGAGAGTTGGGTCGGAATTGTGTCTTCAGGAATCAGAATGGTTTCATGAGCTTGCTCAGCTCTCCTAGGACAAAGGCTAAGGTAATACACATTGCTTGTTAGGCTTACACTATGGGGGGGTCAGGGGCTGCAGGTCTGGAGTCTGTTAGTGCATTTAGTGCCGATGAGAAGGGTGGGCCCAGCCTTGGACACTGAAGTCCTCTAAAGACATGGCAGAGATGGGGAGCGCCCCATATCCCCGTCACCTTCTGCTGAATTAGGGGTGTGGGGAGAAGGTCTCAGCCACTGGCCTCTTGCCAGCCCATGGCGTGCCCACCTGGACCTGTTTCCTCGGGAGCGCTGGGAGAGCACGCAGCTGATGAGCAGAGGAGCAAGTGTAGTCCTGCCGGGCTGACTCCACACGGGGCTCCCCCGCCTCAGGCTTGCATGTGACCCTGCTCTGTGACCCTGTGGAGCTCCAGCCCCCAGGACGGGCATGGCACTGGTCATCTAGGCATAGCCACCAGCCATCTGACTGGTGGCCGCATTGCTGCCTACGCCTCGCCAGGCCTGGAAGCTGAAGAAGGCGCTCACTCCATAGGCGATCATCACTAGGCACGCAAAGAACTGGAAGAGAGGAAAGAAGGGGCAAAGCTGAGTCAGTTGAGTGTGGCACTGGGCGTGACAGGGTGGCAGGGATACCAGCACCGACCGGACCGCCTCAGAGAGGCCTCGGCCATAAATCCTTGAGTAGCTGCCCTCTCGGTTAACCAGAGAGTGGTGCTGGCAGCCATGCCACTTGGTTAGCCATTACTTAACAACTGTTGGTCATGGGCTCATGAGCACTATGTTCCTTCTAAGCAGGGGACACAGTAAGACAACATTGAAAGGCCACCCTAGGAATTTTCTAGAACCAGTTTATATCTCTTACCGCACCTACAGCCACATTCAGAAGCTCTACATCTTCTGTCCCCCCTGAAAAGCTGAGTTTACTGATTTCAAAAACTACCCTCACCCAGAGGAGTAAGGAAACCCAAGTGCTGGTCTAGACCCTGCCCCAGCCTTAGCCACAACTCCAGGCAGGTAAGCCAACTTCTCTGGGACAAAGTTTCCTTGTCTGTCAAAAGGATCGGTAGTTCCTTCCTCTTCCTCACTGCAGCATAGTGGGGGGGGAGACAGGGAGGAGGGCACAGGATCCTGGGAGGAAATTGTGCCAGGCCTTGTGGAATGACGTATGGGAGGACTGTGGCTACTTCGCTAGTCATGGGCCCGGAGTTTGGGCTTCATGGAAGAGTCTGCGACTTTCCCCAAATGGTTTAAACCTAAAGGTTTCTGCATGTGCACTCATCAAAGGGAGAGAGTCCGTGAGTTTAACAGATTCTCCAAGGGGGCATGTGACCCTAAATGAGTGTGGCACAGCTGATTTACAACAGAGTTCAATCATTAACCCAGAACTTCCACTGGCCAACACACACTGTGCCCCAAGCGTTTTGGTTCCTCAAGGTTTTACTGTTGATTATGGAAGGCCCAGCTCCTGGTGAGACCCACTGAGAGTTTGGGTGATGACTACTCAGGAGGTGGCAGGGGCTCAGGCCAAGGGGGCAGCATGGGTTCTGGGCCGAGACCCTGGTGTGGCCTGTCTTCCCTGTGGACTGCCGAGGGACCCTGGGGCATACTCACCGAGGCAGCCGCGCGCTGGTTGTAGGGCCGCGTGCCCTTCAGGGACGTCAGCTCCACCGCCGCAGAGCAGGAGATGAAGGCGGTGATGTAGAGAACAGTGGCGCCCACATTAAAGACCATTAACTGCGGGGGTTGGGGCCAGGAGTAGGGAGGGAGAAAGGGCTTTAGTAGCCAAAGGATGGGGGTGCAGACACGGGGGTCTTTCCCCTGAGTGGCTCCTTGAGGGCAGCAGGCCCCAGTCAGCCCTGAGACTGATAACGGGGAGGGGGACTGATGGGCAGGCCTGAGTGATTGGGTCAGGGCGGTGCCAACCCCCTTCCCAATAGCAAGAGGCCAATCCCTGACTCCTCTCTCCACCAGCTAAAGACCTATGGGCCCCTCCTCCTGGTGTAGCTCAGCACAAAGCCAGGTCCTCCAGTCCCACTGCTGGGTTTGGTGCAGTGGCTGGTCCTAGGGGTGGGGTCTCACATCCCTCTCCGCCTTCAGGAGAGGAATCTTTGTCCCCTTCGGCCACATCCCAGGCTCAGAGCCCTAAGCAGGTGCTAGGGTCAGAACCACAGGAAGACGCAGACACTCCTGACTGGAAACTGAGCAAGGCTGGCAGGAAGGGGCCCTCCACTGACAACCAGGCCCCGCCCCCATATCGCAAATGCTTGGCCCTGGAGCCCATTACAGTCTTCAAGCTGGTGATCCTCAAATGTTTGATTTGTCCCATATACTTTTTAAACATTACCAACATTTAAAAACTAGATTTCATATGAAAACATAAAGATCTAAAACTTCATTTTACAAAATCTAAAGTCATCAAAAGATTTGGCACCAAGGGGCCTGCTTGGGGACAGATGGAGCTGAGAAGAGGCCGCTGGCTGTGAACAGGTGGGTGCTGGCTTCTCCAGAGCCTCTCCTGACCCAATTCACTCACATACCTTTCCTGGATCCTGTAGGGGCTTATAGCCCCCATCCCAGAAAATCCCAAGCTGGCCATCCTAATCCAGCTTTCTCTAGGCACAGTCAGGCCCTCCCTGTCCCGTCTGTTAAAAGGTCCAGGAGCACAAGAAGCAGGGCCTCACCACATGGTCTGCAGTGGGGAACCTCCTGCCAGCAACAGTCATGGCTGGAGCCCCAGATCTGTGCCCAAGAGTCACAGAGGCTTCCATCTCTCTTATAGGCTCTCAGGACACGGGGCAGGGGGCTGGGCCCTGAGCCCGGAAGTCAGAACGCCTCCTCCTGGCCCAAAATCTTCCTGCAAGCCCAGCGACCCCGCAGACGCTGCCTGCTCCTGCCAGTGAAGGCGAGCTCTAACAAACCCATTCTGTCTTAAGGATGACTCACGTTTCCTCGGTTTAAAAAGTCATTGAATTCCAGACAATGCCGCCTAGTCCCAGCCTTGCTTGTCTTACAATCATGTGCCTCTCTCGCCTCTTTGCTCACTGAAAGCCTAGGCCCCCAGCTGCAAGGGTTTTCCGGGTTAGAGAAAAAACCCAGCAGCTTTCTCTGGGTCTGGCCAGGGTACTTTCTATGTCGCTCTCAGCTCTGTGTCCTAGGAGACTGTCCTGGGGCAAACCTGGGCCGCCCAGCCTCTCCTAAGCTGCAAGGCCTCACCCTGGAGGCAGCTGGGTGCTGAGCCGGTCCTGCACAGGCAAGGTCCAGGCCTGGGTCATTCCTGACAGCTTGTCCCAGCCTCCAGCCACAGACCCAGCCAGAGGCTGACAAACCCACACAACACAGGCTCAAATTCTGACCAACCCAAAAAAGGAAAAATATTTTCTAGATTCCAAACAGCCTCTTGTGAATCTACTCAGCAGCCCCCTCATTTCTGTCCCTTCCTGGGACAAAGTCAAGCCTGTGTCCTTCTTGGCTCATGGCTCTCAGGAAAACCGGACACCTGAACTATCACCCCTCCCCAACCCTGGCTCTTCAGGCTGGCTGTGGGTCAGCAAGGATGCCAGGCAGCCCACCCCACTCTGCCACTTCTCATTCAGGGAAGGTCACTGTGGTTCTGTCACAGCCACCCCAGCACTCCCGCCCACAACTCACCACCAGTGGCCAGGGCACCATGTAAAACTTCATGTGCAGCTGAAACAGGTAGAGGATGAAGAAGACGATTGTCACCAGCCAGAGGAAGACAGCGGTGAACATCACCCAGCCGTAGGCCGGGTACAGGTGGTACGGGGTGTCAGCAATCAGTGCCCACACCAGCAGCCCCAGCACCTAGGGGTGAGACAGGACACAGTCTCCCAGAGCCTGGGCCTCACTGTGCACGTAGGCAAGCAGTACTGACTTGGCTTCTGCTGCATACACCGGGCCGGGGCCCTGGCCTGGAGCTCTTGCTCCTCCGCCGGGACTCAGCTGAGATGTTCGGTGCTCAGGACACCTCCACTCCCCCAGCCTGCGTTCCAGAACCCTTTCAGGCCCCCCACCCAGGACCGTGATTCTGCCTCCTTCCCCAGACTGTGAACTCCCCGAGGGGAGGGCCATGGCTGTCTCCCAGCTGCATCCTGACACCCAACACAAGACCTGGGCCCTGTCAGGGGCTCAGGAAAAGCGGCTGAAAGCATGAGTCTCTGGGTTGACTTCAAGTAAATAACAATCAAAGATGCCGAGAGGAAGAGCAAGTCACCAGCACATCCCTGATGCTGGTCACAGTCACACTGTCCCAGAAGTGGGAGCACAATGGCCATGTGTCCTTCCAGCTGGGTCCAGCAGAGAACGTCACAAGCCTCTGGGGGTGACTTCCCGCCTCACAGTCCTGCCCATCTCTGGCTCTCCCAACTGCCTTTCTTTTTCTATTTTCTGTAGAGACAAGTTCTCACTATGTCATACAGGCTGGTCTCAAATTCCTGGCCTCAAGAGATTCTCCAGCCTTGGCCTCCCAAAGTGCGAGATTACAAGCATAAGCCATCGCACCTGGCCACCAACTGCCCTTCTATACAGATGTTACCATCTTTCAGATGAAACTGCATCTCAGAGAAGCCAAGGGACCTGTCTGTCACACGGTTTTCCCATGGCAGGCCAGGCCTGAACATCCCAGCAGAGTGCATGTGGTGGCTAACAGCATGGACTCTTGGAGCCCAACTGCCAGGTTTAAGCTCCTGCTCCCCTTACTAGCTGTGTGACCTTGGGCAAGCATGTAACCTTCCTGTCCCTTGGTCATTTCACTTATAAAGTGAAATTCCTACCTCAAGACTACTTCAAGGACCCACGAGTTCATGAACAGAAATGGGTGAAACTGGAGTGTTTTATTCATATTATTCCGGGAGAGCCCGAGTCCCAGCTGGACTCGGCCCTCACAGCCAGGGAATTCCACATGGACAGGTTTGCTGACTCACTATGAGGGCCCGGCAAAGGGCTGCTCTGAGGCAGGACACGGGACCTCACCTGTGGCCATCTTGGGCCTCCCCAGCTCCTCTTGCCCCTTCTTTGCAGGTTGAGGCCCTCTGGGTTGGGGCATTCTCCTTTCTCTACCAGGACCTTCCCTGGAATCCCTGGTCACTGAGGGGACAGGAGGGTCTACCTCAGGGCTTTGCCGATCAAGACACACAAAGCCGGCCCTCTTCTATCCCTGGACAGCGTGCAGGCATGTGGCCCCAAAGCTGTGCTGTGACAAGTTGGGATCACAGAAAAGCAACAGACCCACCTGACTGCGGGTCTTTGGAGATAAAAAGTCCCTCTGGTACTCATAACGGCTGAAGGGCTGCTGCAGGTGCCTAGCCCACCCGAGGCTCACGACAGCCAGCACTGGGGCGCTGACCAGGCACTTCCCCCAAAGCACCCTCACCAAAGGCCACGGATCCCCTACACATGCGGGGTCAGGATGGGGATGGCCTGCGCTGAGCTGGCCTGGGAGCCCCACTGCCCTGTACTTCTTTCTCTGCTTCCCCCACATTCTCCAGAGGCCTGACTCAGAAGGCTGTGGCCCACTGGGGAAGTAGTGGGTGGAGTCCTGAGTTTAGGAGTCAAAGGCTGGGCTTAAATCCCTACCATGCTGTGTGATGCTGGGCATGTGCCTTGCCGTCTCTGTGTAGCCCCACTGGGGCAGTCTGTTCACTAAAACACAGGCCCCGTGGGGAATCCTGAGTTTCTTCATTGCTGTGTTTCATTCACTATGTGCCAATAGTGCCCAGCACATAGTACGTGCTCAATAAACATGTGCTTAGGGATGAGCGATTCTACTTCCTCATTCATGAAATGGGTCAGAAACCTACACTGCACGGGTGCTCTGGATTAAAGGAGGAAGCAGGTGTCTATCTGTGAACTGCTCCTGGCCTGGCACCCCCCCAACCCAAGGAAGGGGCTCAGCCCAAGGTGAGAGGCCTGGGAAGGTGTCCTTCTTTCAGGGGGCAGGTGAGTCCCCAGGGATGCACACACACACACATACGCACGCACGCACGCACGTGCCCTGCCAACCTCCTGCCCATCTGTGCCCTCCTCTAAGCGGGCCGGGCAAGGGCAGAGCAGGGCCTTGCCTTTGGTCACATGCCAAGCTGGGGAATTCCCAGGACAGGATTATCTCAGAACAGAACCCACACACACCTTACCGCCCATCCTGGACACCTGCCAGAAACACACACACAGGGGACAGGGGGATAGCACGAACCCCCTGAACTGGGTGAGGTCAGTGTTCTGAAGGAAAACACTCGGGACATCTCGCTCCAGCACCATCTCCAGGTGAGAACTGGGCATATCAAGGACAATTGTTTTTTCATTTAAGCACATTCCTTACGGGCCCCACTGCCATTGTGTGGCCTGGTCATCTGAAGGACATTAAAAAATGCAGGGATCCAGGCCAGGCTGGGTGGCTCAGCCTGTGATCCCAGCACTTTGGGAGGCCAAGGTGAGTGGATTGCCTGAGTCCACCGGTTCAAGACCAGCCAGGGCAACTTGGTGAGACTCCATCTCTACAATAAAATAAAAAATAGCCGGGCGTGGTAGTGTGCGTCTGTAGTTCCAGGTTACTCAGAAGTCTGAGGTGGAAGGATCACCGAAGCCCAGAAGGTCAATGCCAGGGTGGCGGTGAGCATGCATGCCACTGCACTCCAGCCTAGGTGAAGGAGTGAGACTCCAACTCAAAAAAAGAAAAAGAAAAAAAATGCATGATCCAAAAATCAAGAAAAAACCAATTCCGATTTCCACCAGTGCCACCTACTACTACTCTGTACTGTGACTCACAGCCGTGACCACAACACTCAGCGCCCTCCCGCTCTGTGCCAGGCGTGATTCCCTGGTTCCCCATCACCAAATGCAGAAGTCTGGCCTAGTTATCCCCATTTTCCAAATGGAAGACCAGAAGGAGGTGTGCCTGTGGTCACCATGGGTAAAGGAACCTGGATCTGTCCTTCCCCCGACCCGTGCACTACCAGTTACCTAGTGATGTGTAAAAAGTGAGGGCGCTCCAGCTGGCTCCAAGGGCAGGGCACCCAAGCTCCCCAGCCCTGCCCTGCCCTGTCTGACACTCCAGCCCCACCCTGAGTTTCCAGATCAGCAAACCCGGCCTCCAGATGAAGCTGGTGGATGTGCACTGGGAATTTCTAGAGCTCCTCTGGCCTCACCTGGCCCTGTGCCCAGGGAGCTGCCTTGGTTTCCGCCCCAGAACAAGGAAGGACTATACCTTGATACAAACCAGACAGACTGGTTTCTCCCCAGAGTGACCCTGCTTAGGACAGGGCACCCTCACGTCTGCCGAGCCCTTCGCTGGTTGGGTGGCCCTGCTGAGCGGGCAAGGCCTAGGCCTCAGCCCAGAAGCTGTAGGACCCACTGCACCCTCCAGTCAGGACCCTCACTCCAACTGGAAGAAGGGGCCAGAGGACTTGGTCTAACAGTGGGGCTTACCCCGCTGCCCAGTGTCAGGAGGACCACTGCAGGCAGCTGGGCAGAGGCTGAGGTGGAGGGTGCCCCTTCCCCAGAACCCCCATCCTGCAATCCAGTCATCCTCTCTAGCAGGCCTCTCTGTGTGTGTCTCTCTGTGTTCACACCCACACAATGAGCGTCTAAGAGCAAGGGCTGGGGGAGGGGGCAGTGGGGACACGACTGAATTTCAGATAAGGGGTCAAGAAAAAAATCACTGGCTAGTGACGTGAGCAAAGATCCAGGAAGATGAGGTAGGAGGCTTTGTGGGTACCTGGAAAAGAGCAGAATGCCCTTGCCCCTGGCCTGTGTGGGTCTCTCACCTGCATGTTCATCTGTCCCGGCGTTTCTCTGTAGGTGTCCATGGGAACATATGAGTCTCTCTCTCTCTGTCTCTCTGTCTCTCTCTCTCCCTCCTTCCTTCTCTCTCATTCTCTCTCTCTCTTCCTCTCTCTCTCCATCTGTTTGTCTTTCTCTCTCTCTCTATCGCTCTCTCTCACACACGCACACACACACACACACACACACACACACACACACACACACACAGCCAAACCTTACCCCTTCTAAACTCTGAGACCCCTCTACTCTCTCCCCAGGCAGGCGCTACCAATAAGCAAAAAGAACTGTCTGGAAACTTCAAGGGTACAGGGGCTTTTTTCTTTCTTTTTTTCTGAAAAACTGAAGAATTTGGATTAGGAACTCTTTCTTTCAACAAGGACTGCAATGTCAAAAAGGACCCTTGCATCTCCAAAGAATTTCTAAGCAATTGGGCAACAAAGAGATGTTTTTGTTAAAACCACCTGCGGGACCACAGAGGAGAGATTTATCACAAATGCCGGGCCAAGAGGCATTCCTGGCTCCAGCTCAGCCCTGCTGGTCTCCCCAGAAACTGGCCACAGTGACAGTAGACAGGCCAGGTTCCTGCAGTGTGTGTGCCCTTCAGTGACTCTGGGGAGGTTTCTCCTCTTTTGCTGGGGGTGAATGGTGCTCCCCAAGGTGTGTTCAAGTCCTAACCCCAGTACCTGTGAACATGACCTTATTTGGAAATAGGGTCCTCGCCGATGCACACAAGATTAGGTCATACTGGATTAGGGGGTCTCTAATCCAATGACTAATGTTCTTATAAGAGAAAATGTGGACACAGAGACCCACACAAGATAACAACATGTGAAGACAGGATGTGGTGATGTGTCTACAAGTCAAGGAACACCAAGAACTGCCACTGCCACCAGAAGCTGCCAGCAGGAGAGAGGCTCAGAACAGCTTCTCCCTCCAAGCCCCCAGAAGGAACTAACCTTGCTGATACCTTGAGTTCTGACTTCCAGCCTCCAGAACTGCGAGATAATACATTTCTGCCATTTGAAGTCACCTGGTTTCTGGTGCTATGCTATGGAAGCCCCAGGAAACTAATACA